AAAGACTAATTTTTCCCTTAGATACTGTAAAATCTTGCCTATTTCTGTCCTTGTATAAGGAAGCATAACGCCAAAACGTACCCATTGTAACTTCACCTTGCATGAAATGCACGTGAAACCTGTTGGAAACGGGTATATAAGGCCCCTAGATTTATCATTTCACACCATACATTCACTACAATGCCGAGATTAACAGCAGAAGATGGCCCTCTCCCGCTCTTCTGCATGTATCACCGCCACCGAGGATCGCTACATCCGGTTGAGACATTTTCGTTCAAACACCACGGCCGCATCATCCACAACAATCCAAATCCTTGGACTACTCCGAATCTCCGACCAGACACTGCGCAATAGCTATGTAGTCTGTCTCACAGTCCCTGAACCATATTAATTTCCCTACTGCCAAGCCCTCTCTGCAGTGCTAAAGCCCTAAATAAAGCAAGTCTAGATTTCCTCAGGTTCAGGAAACTTTTGAATTTGGAGATAAGTTCAAATTCATAAATAATTTTGTTGGTGTTCCACACAGCTCTTGCACCTTGGTCATCTAGTGGCCAAGTGACATTGTGGGCAGCAAGTTTCCCAACAGTAAAATGTTAGGCAGTAGGGGCACTTGACCGGCCCACATGAGGTGATGACAGCATGGAGATAGGACAGGGCTTAACAGGAGGGCCAATAAATATGCCTTTCACTTATAGCGTTATCTGATGGTTGTATGATGTGACTTCTAATTGGTAATGACCCCAGCACGTGTAGCCCCAATGCAGATGTTCTTAGTCTCTGAATCTCTGGTCTCCCTAGGGCTTCTTTTCAATATAAATGGGTTTGTTTGTTACTATAAAAATTATGTATATTCAGAGACTAAGCCTTAGTCTATTGGCTATGGAAAGCCAGACGTTTTGCCAGAAGACCAGTTCAACGTCACGTCGTTCCCGACATCAACGTGATCTTTGGAGCATGGCAATGCTCGACCTCACGTTGCACGTGCTTGATAGGACTTCCTCCAGCAAAACAATGTTCAGTTGTTACCTTTGCCTTCTCGATCACCGGATTTGTCCCCCATTGAACATCTATGGGATACTCTTGATCGACGCTTGCGCCAGCGTAATCCGCCACCTCAGACACTACAAGAACTGCACATAGCACTTCAGCAAGTGTATGAGAACATTCATCGAGACAGCATTCGGCATCTCCTTTCTTCTATGGGTCACCGCTGCCAAGCTGTTATCGATGCTCATGGTGGTCACACCTGATATTAACATTTTATTCTGACCAAGTGGCTTTAATAGCCATCTGTGGTTTTACCAAACACTTTCTGGATACTCATGTTTGAGAAATTTGTAAAGTGATGATTTTACTGTAACTGAGCAATGATGTTATGCTTGAATCAGTTATATGCACTCAGTAAGTAAACTCCAAAGCAGCAAGTCAAGTTTCTTTTTTTGAAGAGTATATATTGTTCTAAAATTGAACCAATTAAGTGTGATTAATTTAGAGTGAAATACAGTAACAAAACAGATTGTACTTCACTCCTACTTGACAACAGTATAAGAATCTATACCGAAACGTCGCATCATAGTTTAGTTTTACGCCGCACTCAGCAATATTCAGCTATGTGGCGGAGGTCTGTAAATAATCGAGACTGGCATATATAGACTAATGCTTAGTCTCTAAATATATTTAATTTTGACAGTAACAAACAAACCCATTTAAATTAAAAAGGAGCCCCAGGGAGACCAGAGATTCCTGAGGAAATCTAGACTTGTGCTTCATTTAGGGCTTTAACACTACAGAGAAGGCTAGGCAGTAGTGAAAATAATGTGCTTCAGGGACTGTAAGACAGACTACTGCAATTGCAGCGTTAAACTACACGTGAACCATACGAAAGACTTCAGCTTTCCTGACCATGTTCAATGAATTCTTTAAAAGATGCCAAGGATATCTCCTAATATGATGGATACCCAGGTATGAACATGCATTTGTATTGTTGAGCCGTGGCCTGAAATACCTCACTATCCCGCAATAAAGGATCGACCTGTAAACCGTTGACCGTTTCATCTGAAAAAGTATCTTTGTCATCAGTGAAGGCTATCAGTTACTATTGAATCTTAAAACAGGTTTGTCAGGTTTGAATAATAGCATCAGGTATATTCTTGTTTTCTTATTTGGACTATTCCATTATAATATGTATGTAACAGGTAGTAGCTAATCTGTTCGTTGAACCGTAAATGTTGTTTTTAAAAGGCGTCTGCGAACTGTCTCTCTGCGTAATGGGAGGATACGCGGAATCCATGTCCAACATAATATCTAATATCCGCCATGTTCACAGTGCAGCAGTGAATGTTCGAAAAGATCAAGGGAGCAGTTATTGTGGACAAGAGGACAAATACTATAAAAATATCAATTTATTAATATCTAAAAATCATAATGATTTAACGATATCAAAAAAATGATAACTGAAATCCTAAATAAGATATATAAAATTGAATTATTGATATGACAACATTTTTTTCATGGTATCATAAAATACTTAAGACTTTTAGATATCACAAATTCGACTTAGAGATGTCATCAAATTCATTTTAAGATATTAAAATTTCATTTCATTTCATCAACAATTATTTCATGATATTATTTTATATCACTAATTCAAATTTGTGATGTCAATAATTCATTTGTGACATCATTATATAATGAATAAATGGTAAAACGACGCACTATAAATTAGACCTTAGAATTCAGCATACCCTATTTTGTGTACATGTAATGTGATTAACGTGCAATTAAAATTGGAGCACTGGCACCAGATTGTATTATAACGCGTCGCTTCAAAGTGAGGGCTGTAGAGGAGGCCATTAGTGGTACCGACATTACCAACAGAGTACACGCAGTGGACCCACCTTGTTTGTATACTTACCTTGTGTTGTGGAGGGGAAATAACGTACGCACAAAGTAAAACGTTCTTGGTGTCGATCAGATGGCTACTGGATCTTCTGGCGTGCGCGCATGAGGCTTTATATACGTATAAATTTTGGACATTAATTGTGACGTCACAGCGATTATAGTCACGTGAAAATGTCCGACCGATTATAAGGCCGACCAAAGGCGTATTTTGTTTGTTGTGATCTTCAATCCAAACGTCATGTGATCCAGTGTCACTCTTCTCGTCTTAATCACGTTTTATGTACGAAGCCATACGTCGACTGGGCCCGACTGCTTTTGGGATAATGACAGGCACCTGGCAACGACTTAGCAACTGGTAACGGAATAATCGGAGTCCATCTAAATGAACATGTCAGTGATCCAACCGATCGGGTCCAGTAGAGATCATCGTTTTGCAATCTCTGTACCATTTGTACAGGATGTAGGTACGATTCTGCTGAGGAACTGAATAAACCCAGTTAAATTAAACAATGTAAACGCCGGAAACAAGTCTTTCTTAGACCGGATTCTTAATATAACTCTAGTCTAGCTTTAGCCAGTGCACGATATATACAGCAGTCAAGAAAGGTTTCCAGACTTTGTATGTGTGGAAGCAATAACATTTCTGAGTACCATGATGGGATTCGAACCGTGTACCTTCTGATCCGAAGCCGGTTGCCTCTTCCACATGACCAATGAGGTTATCGCAAGCTGACAAAGTACAGAAGACGTCCGTATCGAACAACATTAGTAGTTTGCGTGTATTAAGGACACTACTGAGTGAGTGAGTGAGGTAAGTTGAGTGAGTGAGGTAATTGAGTGAGGTGAGTGAGTGAGGTGAGTGAGTGAGGTGAGTGAGTGAGGTGAGTGAGTGGAGTGAGTGAGAGGTGGTGAGTGAGGTGAGTGAGGTAAGGTGAGTGGAGTGAGGAGGAGTGGTAAGTAAGTTGGAGTGAGGTGAGGTGAGGTGAGTGAGGTGTGAATGCGTTAGTGAGTGAAATGAGTAAGTGAGATGAGTGAGTGAGTGAGGTGAGGTGAGGTGAGATGAGTGTGTGAGTGAGTGAAGTGAGTGAGGTGAGTGGGTGAGGTGAGGGAGGTGTGTGAGTGAGTGAGTGGGTGAGGTGAGTGAGTGAGTGAAGTGTGTGAGTGAGTGAGGTGAGTGAGGTGAGGTGAGTGTGTGAGTGAGTGAGTTGAGGTGAGGTGAGGTGAGGTGAGTTGAGGAGTGAGTGAGGTGAGGTGAGTGAGGTGTGGTGTGTGGGTGTGAGTGAGTGAGTGAGTGAGTGCGGCTTTTGGAAATATTCCAGCAATATCACGGCCGGGGACACCAGAAATCAGTTTCACACACTGAACCCAGGTCTTAACTACTAGGCTAGCCGCCCACCGTCCCAATTGGGTTGCGAAGTTTAAAGGAGGGGTCGAGATGGGGGAAGAGTTTGCCCAGAAGACCTAAGATTAAGAAGACATTTACAAATGTAGTTGCTATCAAAATGAAAATATTGATGACATAGATGCAATAATTATTAACCTGTGGGCGACTCGTCGAGCGTCACATCTTTGATTCAGTAGGAATCCCTCAAGAGAGATTTGAGAAAATTCTGAGAAATGCGCACGACACGAGTTTTCAGCATGCTAGTTCCAATCGCTTCTGACTGTTCAGAAAGCTCCATGTTTATCAACTCTGGTGAAAATCTATATATTTTTTAAACAGACCCATCTGGTCTTGTTGAGACCTCGAACGCTGGGTCTACCACTATCATCCAGAAAATATACAACAGCCTCATGCGACAGCTGGCAATGTGATGACAGCTGTTTTCTGGTGGACCTTTTGAAAAGGTCATCACACCTTGTAAAGAAATCAGCTGTTCTTGCTCGTAAAACTTGAAAATGAAAACTATAAAACTTTAAACTTCCTCATAAGGGCAAGAAACAAATACAAAATAGATTTGTATATTTGTGTTATCACCTACTGCCGATCATGCCATTACTATGTGTTTATAACATGATGGAATGTGCTATTTCAACCCAGATAGTCATAATGGTGACACATGCACGCCATCATGTCCATCAACTGCTCATACTGGTGACTATCGGACAGCCCGCTGGGTGCTCAGTTCAACAGGGCCAAGCTGCTTCTGTCGTTGAATGTCGGGCAGCTGGCGAGGTGGTACAGTGCTTACAACAGCTGCAACCACAGGTATAGTGTGAGCAAACAAAGGCTATAAGCACAGGTAAAGTGCTAAGAAACAACATCTACAAGCACGCGCTTGCACAGTGCTTGAAACAAAGGCTAGAAGCACGGCTATGGTGCTAACAAATAAATGTAACACACACGGTGTGGTGCCAACAGACAACAGCGACAAGCACGGAGAGGTGCCAACAGACAACAGCTACACACACGATGTAGAGCCAACAGACAACAGCTACACACACAGTGTGATGCCAACGGACAACAGCTACAAGCACGGGGTAGAGCCAACAGACAACAGCTAAACACACGATGTAGATAAAACAGACAACAGCTACACACACGGTGTGATGCCAACAGACAACAGCTACACACAGTGTGGTGTAAACAGACAACAGCTACACACACAATGTGATGCCAACAGACAACAGCTACACACACAGTGTGGTGGCACTAGACAACAGCTACACAAACAGTGTGATGCCAACAGACAACAGCACAGCTACACACACGATGGTAGAGCCAACAGACAACAGGTGTAAACAGACAACAGCTGTACACACAATGAGCCAACAGACAACAGCTACACACACAGTGTGGTGCCAACAGACAACAGCTACACACACAGTGGTGCAAACAGCTACAACACGCAACAGACAACAGCTACACACGTGTGTGCCAACAGACAACAGCTACACACAGTGTGGTGCCAACAGACAACAGCTACACACACTGTGTGGTGCAAACAGACAACAGCTACACAGAGTGTGGTGCCAACAGACAACAGCTACACACACGGTGTGGTGCCAACAGACAACAGCTACACACACGGTGTGATGCCAACAAACCACAGCTACACACACGGTGTAGTCGCAACAGACAACAGCTACACACACGGTGCGGTGCCAACAGACAACAGCAACACACACGGTGTGGTGCCAACAGACAACAGCTACACACACATTGTGGTGTCAACAGACAACAGCTACAACCAGAGTGTGATGCCAACAGACAACAGCTACACACACAGTGTGATGCCAACAGACAACAGCTACACACACGGTGTGATGCGAACAGACAACAGCTATACACACAGTGTGATGCCGACAGACAACAGCTACACACACGGTGTGATGCCAACAGACAACAGCTAAACACACGGTGTGATGCCAACAGACAACAGCTAAACACACACAGTGTGGTGCCAACAGACAACAGCTACACACACGGTGTGATGCCAACAGACAACAGCTACACACACAGTGTGATGCCAACAGACAACAGCTACACACACAGTGTGGTGCCAACAGACAACAGCTACACACAGTGTGGTGTAAACAGACAACAGCTACACACAATGTGATGCCAGCAGACAACAGCTACACACACAGTGTGGTGGCACTAGACAACAGCTACACAGTGTGATGCCAACAGACAACAGCTACAAGCACGGGGTAGAGCCAACAGACAACAGCTACACACACGATGTAAAGCCAAGAGACAACAGCTACACACACGGTGTGATGCCAACAGACAACAGCTACACACAGTGTGATGAGAACAGACAACAGCTTTACACACGGTGTGATGCCAACAGACAACAGCTACACACACGGTGTGATGCCAACAGACAACAGCTAAACACACGGTGTGATGCCAACAGACAACAGCTAAACACACACAGTGTGGTGCCAACAGACAACAGCTAAACACACACAGTGTGGTGCCAACAGACAACAGCTACACACACGGTGTGATGCCAACAGACAACAGCTACACACACGGTGTGATGCGAACAGACAACAGCTATACACACAGTGTGATGCCAACAGACAACAGCTACACACACGGTGTGATGCCAACAGACAACAGCTACACACACGGTGTGATGCCAACAGAGAACAGCTACACACACAGTGTGATGCCAACAGACAACAGCTACACACACAGTGTGATGCCAACAGACAACAGCTACACACACAGTGTGATGCCAACAGAGAACAGCTACACACACGGTGTGATGCCAACAGACAACAGCTACAAACACAGTGTGATGCCAACAGACAACAGCTACAAGCAGAGAAATAGTTCATAGTACGCAAATTACGCACCCGAGCCCCTGTAGAAACTAGTCGTCATAGGACTGAATCCCACATTCATCCTAATCATGATTCCCGATCTGTCAAACAATAATCTTCTAAATGAATAGACAATGCCGACAGTGACCAAATGTAACACATGTTATATTTAAGAATACACTTTCTCGGTATGGCATAGCTTCTAGTGCTTTTTTGTGTTGAGTCCCGTCTGGGATTCGAACCCACACTCTCAGAGTCAGGCATCTCATCGCCAACACTCAAACACAGCTATCTGACACGCTTAGACTTACCTAAAATATAAGTGACAAAATCCTTTTCCGACTGTACAGTTCTCAATGCATCGTGAGCATATATTTATACGTTACTGTCAAAAAGTGACAATTCCCGAATGGTTGGAG